GCAGAGTACGGGTAGTCCTCGACAGATAACGTAGGCTCTCACGCTTGCAAACATAATATGTAGAGATGGCCAAGCTTGCCAAAAAAGAAGCAAAAGTTATGCAAATGTTCATACTTGAAACCTACCCAACATGTCGATTTATCCCGCTTCATAAACCTCATTCTCCGGCGTATGGGTTTGTTAACCGGAATTGCAACTCGAATACGGTAAAACGCCTTCCACGGGGCACCCACGAACCTGTCATCCACCTAAATGAACGAACCTAAGGTGTTTCCAATCTGCTCCAATATTTTATCCGACGTGTATCCCATCGGCAAGTCATGGACTTGTACCCACATGTCAAGAGTATCCAAAGGTACATCGCCCGACAACATCCCGTCCGTAAGTTGTCGCCAAACCAATGTGGCATTGTCATACGCCCATGGACCCTCCTCCATCACACGCTCTATGTCAGTTTTATGGTGAAAAACAAACATGAGAAGCCGGGGCTGGACTTCCGTAACCTGCATGCCTTTGATCGGTTGCCAAACTGATGCCAAAACCTGGCTCATGAACTCTATCTTCACCATCTTTCGTGTCAAGAATCGGCCAACGAGCCGCCATGTTTCCACGATGCTGGTTGCGCCTGCCCCTACCTCGTCCGCAGTAGGCTCGAAGGTAAAGTCGTCTTCCTCCAACGCCATATCCGCCCAGCGCTCCGTTATGGCCACAACATTGGCCTCCACTCGCGTCGTCGACATAACGGGATTCGTAGAAGCAAAGAGATCGAAGATGTCTGCACAGTTGCGTAGGTGATGCCGAAAATCTGCTGGAGGGAACCCTAGAAACCCTAGAGAGAGAATTTTGTTATTGTTGTGTACACTCCTTTAGTTCCCATGTTTTAATTAATTCCAATTTAGCTAGGTCATATATATTGCTGAATATGACTATCAAACGTATAGTAAGTGTGGTGTTATTTTGAAAGGAAGGCTAAATTTGTAGAGACTAGTACAAAGAGAAGCATTATTGTTATTGCCAATTGCCAATGTGATGTATAAACCACACTGTTTATATATATATTAGATACATAAAAATGTATATTATTAACCAATAAAAGATCTGACATATATAGAATAATAAAATCTTCCCTTACTAGGGGAAAGTTTATAAATGCATGTGTCACATCCTATAAGCTAATAGAACTATTAAAAATAAACTTTTAACCAATCATATTAGCTATTATTAAAGTTTATATGCTATGAGCTAGAATTCTATTCAATCTAAATCTTCTTTATCCATAATTAAATTTGGTTGCCCAATTCATTTCGAAAGTCTTTTATTTTTTAAACTAATTAAAAACTCTTTTATACTCGCTAGTTCTGTGGTTAAAAATAAATAAAAAATAGTGGGAGGTGTTTAAATAGATTCTTTAACGAATTAAAAAACTTTTAAGAAATAATTAGAGTATTTTAGTAGTAGAAGTCTTTAAGTTTGTCTTAACGAGATTTTGTAGTAGTGAGATAAAACGTGAGTATGTACGTGCAAATGTTAAGTTCAACATAAATGTAAAGAGAGTAGGGTAGAGAGAGATTGAGTAAAGATTTTTATAATGATTCAAGTTAACTCTACTTCACTCTTCTCCTTAACACAGGAGGTTTCACTAGTACCAGTTGAATACAAGTATTTTGAAGGTTGTGTTAAAGTGGTGGAATGGAGTATGTGTGAGAGGGTATCCTCACACCGGATATCGTCTTAAGGAGTGGACCGGAAGAGTGCTGAATAGTATGTGGTTAAGCACAAAAGTGTAGAGTGTTTGGAAGCTAGTTCGAAGGTGGGTCGACGGGGCAACCGGGGCAGAGTTAGTCGCCATTATGACGTCCATGGCGTCGGTTGGCGAAGAGGATGGCGGTGGGAGCATGTTGTCGGCGGTGGCGGAAGGTGTAACCGAGGGGGCGGCCAAAGACAGAGAGAATAGTTTCGAGGTTGGGGTGATTGGAATTCATAGGGAGGTGTATGGGAGTGACTGCGAGAAAGACGGTGGTTGTTATGCAAGAGAGGGAATAGGAACGATCATTGACTAGGGAAGGGGAAGGTGATATTTAAGCTTTCAAAATCCAGGGTTTCTAAGTCCTTTGTGGGCCTAGGCCTGGTGGATTGAGTCTTACTTCTTTTAATCACTTGTTAGTAATTAATAGAAGTGTGGGACTTATGATGGAATATATTAGATTAGGCCTGGCTCATGTGTTCAGGGGGAGGCCCAATGATAGAAGGATGGGTTTGCAGACCGGCCTGCATGCATAGAGGATGGTCGCATGCGGTCTGCATACAAAGGATGGTTGCATGTAGCCCGCACGCACAGAGGATAGTCGCATGCAAGGTGACGCGATGGCGTCTACAGCGTGCGTAGGCGTACGGGGGGTGGCGGCTGCGGCATGCATGGGCGTACGCAGGGTGGCGGTTGCGGCGTGCATGGGCGTACATGAGGTGGCGGTTGCGGCGTGAATGGGCGTACGTGGGGTGGCGGCTAATGTATGTGCATGGAGGCAGGGCAGCGGTGGTTGCATGCAGGGGTCACGGGAAATGCGGGAGCGCACGTCCAAGGACCATCATGGGTGCACGAAGCAGCGTGGATAGCGCGGAAGACGGGGGGAGGAAAATGGGCACGCAAGACGCAATCGGGGTGCGCGATGGGGGCTAGCACGTGTGTGGTGTAGAAGGAGGAATACCGGTACCCCACATGTGGCTGGCCCAGAGGGGTGCCCTCCTAGTATATAATGGGAGGGGGTGTCACGATCCGTTTGAGGTGTGGAAATAAGACGAAAGAGACTGGATAGCTGGGTGGTGGAAGCCTTTCTCTCTCTACTGGTTGGTCCTAAGTTCGACTCCAAGTATCGGTATTAGCTTGTACTTATTCGCTGCCTAGTAATCTAATTTCGTTGCATGTCTTCTACGCTGCGTTGTTCTGGGCCTGGTGTTGGGCTTGCACATACGTTCATCCTTGATAGGGCCACACGCTTGTTTTAGTTGCATACTCCCTTCTGATCAATTCGCGTTGTATGGACCCCGCTTTCATTAAAACCATCAATAGAATAATAAACTCTTCCCTTACTAGGGAAAGTTTATAAATGCATGTGTCACATCCTATAAGCTAATAGAACTATTAAAAATAAACTTTTAACCAATCATATTAGCTATTATTAAAGTTTATATCCTATGAGCTAGAATTCTATTCCATCTAAATCTTTTTTTATCCATAATTAAATTTTGTTGCCCAATTCATTTCGAAACTCTTTTATTTTTGAAACGATTTTAAAAACTCTTTTATACTCGTTGGTTCTGAGGTTAAAAAATAAATAAATAAATAATAGTGGGAGGTGTTTAAATAGATTCTTTAACGAATTAAAAAACTTTTAAGAAATAATTAGAGTATTTTAGTAGTAGAAGTCTTTAAGTTTGTCTTAATGAGATTTTGTAGTAGTGAGATAAAACGTGAGTATGTAAGTGCAAATTTTAAGTTCAACATAAATGTAAAGGGAGTAGGGCAGAGAGAGATTGAGTGAAGATTTTTATAATGATTCAAGTTAATTCTACTCCACTCTTCTCCTTAACATAGGAGGTTTCACTAGTACCAATTGAATACAAGTAAATTGAAGGTTGTGTTAAAGTGGTGGAATTGAGTATGTGTGAGAGAGTATCCTCACACCGGATATCATTTCAAGGAGTGGACCGGAAGAGTGCTGAATAGTATGTGGTTAAGCACAAAAGTGTAGTGTTTGGAAGCTAGTTTGAGAGTGAGTTGCAAGATATCAAGGAACAACTATGTGTAAACTGAAATCGTAAAACAATTAACTAAGAGAATTAACAAGCAATAAAATTAAGGGTTTGGACTAGGTCATTTAAGTGTAGATGATATAGTATATCCTTGGTTAGAGCTAATGTAACGCATTGACAACGGAACTAGGGAGATGGCTACAGTGGTAGCATCCCCTGGAATGCTTAGGTTGTTAACCTTGGGCTTTAACATTTAATGCTTGTGCTCCTATTTCTATCTCTTAAGTATCTAATTTATACTAGGCTCAATTGATAGAATTTGGGGGTGTTACACAGGGTGCCTGTAGTGCTCAAATGATGATGTCCCAGTAAGAAGCAAGGCATCCTATTTATAGCAAAATCCCTTGCAATTGCACTGTACACATGTACGTCCCTAGATTCACTCTCCCTCCATCCTCCATGTGTCCCACGTCTATGCACCATTGTGTTGTAACACAACACACCACTCCTACCGACACACCATCATATCGCAACACTGCACCGCCCCCACCCCCCACGCCGCACCACCCCCGGGAGGCGGACGTGGGTGAGGCGATGGGTACCACGCCTGGGGCGCGAGGCACGGGGCACGCCTCAACTGACAAGGGTCAGCGCCCTAGCCGGCGGAGCCGTGCAGCCAGCCGATCACAGCTGGCGACACCCCCTCCCCCTTTGCCGCACCGTCGCGTCGCGCCACCCCCCGAAATGGGGGCGCGATTGGGCGCCGGGAGCCCACGCCGGCGGGAGCCAACGCCCTGTGGCGAACCTCACGCCCACCTATCAATGGCCGGGCAGTACTCCCCTTCTAGGTTGGCCCATCATCCCTTGCTTGACTCTCCTCTTTCCTTGACCCAAATCTAGCCCAATAACAAAATCACAATAAATCTTAGCATATAACTCGTATCCCCATCAATATCAATATCTAAAATCTAAAATTATAACAATATAATCCTAAATACATGTATATTACGGAGTAATAAAAAATTTAATTGACACTAAAATTAGCCACTACCATTATCCACTACGCCACCACCCTAAAGATGTGGCCGCTATTAAAATGTGAGTAACCGTGTGATGTTGCTCAAGTGCAATTCACTCCATAGAACTCATGAAGCGGTGGTTAACACGTCATGGCACGCGCGGGCATCCTCGCGTGGAGAGAACCTTTTTAATTATTTTGTTCTGGCGGCATCACTTCACCACTACTCCAAAATTCCTGTACCCGACGCCTCTCCCACTCCCTCTTCCTCTTTCTGGACCTCAACACTGCGTCCCCTCCTCTGAATATATATAAATGACACGCAACCGCATTCTATCATTTCGAACTTCAATCCCCTCCGCCGAAACAGAAAGCGCGAGTTTTCTCTCTGTCTCTGCAGCGGTACGGTTTCCTCGAAGATCAGAAATGGTAACTTGCAGCAACGCCGCCCTTCCGAGCTACAGTTGCTCCTCGCCTGCCGATGATCGCCGATTCTCTAAGCAAGTTTACGATAACGTTCACGGAAACATCTATCTCGATCCTGTACGCTTCTCCAAACTCCGTTTTTATGCTTTTTTTGCATGCCTGTGACCGCGTATTATGTTTTGAATTCCTGCTTCTTCTTTTTTTTTTTTTTAATGTTTGAACTGTTGAAAGTTAGGAGCAGTTGATAATTCGAGGTTTTCGGTTTTGTTTCTGAGCTTTCGATTTCGGTTGGAGATTGCACTGCCGTATACGAAATGAGAAGTGTGAATAGGAGGAGGATTTTAGTCATTTTATGATCATGCATGCCTGCCTAGCTTGTACGCGACTTTGTATGAATTTTAGACGTAAATCTATGCTTTAAGTTATGATTTTCTGAGAAAGTCAAAGGAGATCTAATGATTGTTTAAATTAATTCTATTTGTGAAGTGATTAGAGTGAAGATATTTGAAAATACAGAACACTCGGTTGATTGTATTTTGTATGTTTTTTTGTTTAAATTCCTCCTTGGGGAATGATCAGTGAAAACGACTAGATATGTAAACGAATATTAATCTTTAGATGTTTAAATTTTAGTTGCACATTTTTTATAAACATTTACTTGCACGTGTGTTGAGTGAAGCTTGCTTCTGTCCTCGAAATTGTTTTACAGAATATTCTATTTAGCTTCTGTTCTGATTATATTTTATTGGAAGTCAACAATATTATATATAATGAGAATATATTGCTTTCAATTAAGTTGTCTCTTAAAGTACAGGTTTTGTTTCACTTAATGCTCGGAGGAATTCAAAAAAAAAAAAATGCTCATGTGTAATTAAACAAAAGTTGTCTCAATTGCCAAAAAAAAATAGAGAAGAGCTACCAGCTGCAAGCATACATTCTGTTACTTTGATCTAAAATTTTTGCAGTTTTAGTGCTTATGAATTTATGGTTTCCACTAATTGCAGCTTTCTCTGAAGTTTGTGGATACAGAACAGTTTCAGAGGCAAGTTTAATCATTCTGGAATTCTCTTCCTTAGTTCCTTTTGCACTTTGCAGTATGCAACAGTTTTTGTTTTCTTTTTCTGTTTGTAGTAACATTTTTTCTCTTGTTGTAGTACAGGCTTCGGGATTTGAAGCAACTTGGTGCGTTGTCAATTTTTATCTTTAAATTTCTGCAATTCTAAATCCTGGAAGATGTGAGCTTTAAAATGAAAATATTTCTAGCTTTAAGTAAAATTGCTCACACAGTGCTTATGTGATTGAGTTATCGCTAATGTACAAATACTGTCCATCCTGAAATTCATTCAATCTAAACATACGCCTTAACTGGAAAAGGATATTGCTCTTTAATTTTCCAAATATATGTGAGTCTTCTGCTTGATGCCACTATGGTAATTTATTTAAGAAGCTATTTGATTCTGTTTTGTGATGAGTATCTGTTCCATGTGCTACAATAATGTCTTCTGTCAAGAAGTTCATGGCGTTATTTATTCCATTATATGCGCTGTTTTATGTGTCACAATACTATGTGACCAAGTCAGCTTCATCTTTGTGTGTAGGCCTTACTTACTTTGTTTACCCGGGGGCTGTGCACTCTCGCTTTGAGCATTCACTTGGTGTCTATTGGCTGGCTAGTGATGCTATAAACAGACTTAAAGCCAGTCAAGTGAGATTATATTCATGGTTTGCTATTATTCTAAGCATGTGGTCGCATAGACCATTCTTAGTGCATGCTTGTTGTCCTTGTAGGGTTCAGAGCTTGGCATTGATGCATTTGATGTTCAGACAGTGAAACTTGCTGGTAAATCCATTTACTGGCCTTCAAACAATTTTTCTTCAACTAAATTCTTCTAATGTTTTTCTTGATTGTATCTAGGATTACTGCATGATGTCGGTCATGGGCCATTCAGCCACACGTTTGAGCGTGAATTTCTTCCTCGAGTTCTTAATGGCATCAAATGGTATTTCTACAGTGTTCCCTAAAACAAATTGGGTTGTCTCCATACATAAGACAAACAAAGATTTTATCTAAGAGCGAATTCTCTAACCATTTAAACTGCTTTGTTATTTTATGTATACATTTCTTCACTTTTTTCTATATAACAAGTATTCTTTGATCTATATCCATCATCCATGGAAACATACTATTTTCTTATCTCAATGTAGTCATCTTAATTAACTCTTATTATAAATGAAATTTATCAAGGTCCCATGAAGATATGTCTTTGAAGATGATAGACTACATTGTTGATAAACATACCATTGACATTGATTCTGAGAAGCATAAGAAAGTGAAGGTTTGTTTGTCAATTATATTTCCTCTCTCTTGCTTTATCTGCTCTTCATTTGTTTTTGGTACTCTTACCTCTTTTTTGTTTTGTTTTGCGTCTTTTTTTTTTTTCATTGAGTTCCATCTCTTTGTTGTCTTTTGTATAGCAACTGGACTCTGGGGCACTTGTTTTGGAGTCTGTTTTTTTTTTTTTTTTTTTTCTTTTATTATTTTTGTTTCCCTTTTAGATTTAATCTTGATTGCTTTATGATAGAGAACCATGGTATTTACCTTCTCATTGCATCATCATGTATGTCTTGTTACCAATGCAGGAAATGATAATTGCTTCTGAGAGTGATCAATCTAATGTAAGTAATTGCCATGGGCCATATATTGAATAAAAAACATTTTTACCACTTTGTAAATAATCTACAGTATGTTCTAACCCACTTTTCGGTCTTTTCCTACACAGAGCTTGAAAGAAAAGCAATTCTTGTATGATATTGTTGCTAATGGGCGCAATGGCATAGATGTTGACAAGTAACAATCTGCTTATGACTTTCTTTTGATGTGACTTCACACTCGTAATAATTCTTGAAGAGTTACAGGTCATTAATGTTCTTTCAGATTTGATTATATAGCCCGTGACTCTCGAGCTTGTGGTCTTGGTTGCAATTTCCAGTTTGAAAGGTGTAAAATTTGTACCCTTGCCCTACTTCTATCAAGATTGCTGAAATACTTAATGAGGGCCTTGAATTTTCTTACCTATAAGAATGAAATACTATTTGAATTTAATTTCAATCAATTTATACCCTTAAGAAGCAATCCTAAAGAGCTGTTACCCTGCTCATTCAGAATTTTCGACACAATGAGGGTTATGGACAATGAGATATGCTACCGTGCAAAGGAATGTTAGTACTTGCTTCTATTCCCTCACCTGAATAGGACAATCCCTTTATTGCCACTGGTTTTCATTTTAGGGTCTTTTTAAAAAAATAATAATAAATAATAATAATTTGATCATTTTGCTCAGATCTTACTATCCACAAGCTATTTTATTCACGGGCTGATTTGCATCGAACAGTTTATATGCATGCAAAAGTGAAGGTGATTCATAATTCATTAATAATTTTTTTCCAATTTGGACAGATTGCTACTTATATGCTCTAACCATTTAATTCTTTATTTGTTGGTTCCTTTTTCAGGCTATTGAACTGATGATTGTTGATGCCCTGCTCAAGGCAAATAATTATCTTAAAATCACATCCTATATTGATGAACCATCTCAATACTGGCAGGTTGGATTTGCCTATTACTTGTCTTAATCCATTCACTTTGTTGAATATCTATCTTAAATGGTCTCTTAATGCCTGCATATTACAGTTAGATGACACAATAGTGAAAACTATTGAAACCAGTTCTTGTCAAGAACTGAAGGAATCCAGAGATCTCATCCTTAGAATTCGAAGAAGGGACTTGTACCAGGTGCAGATAAAAGTCGTTGACCAGTGGTTCTATTATCACTTCTTCAGTCTCTAAATACTGTTTCAAGCTAACTATAAGGCAAGTCCTGAAGTATTTTTAAAATGTTCAATAGTTCTGTAATGAGTTTGCTGTACCAAAGGAGAAGCTGGAGCATTTCAGAAATGTCACTTCTCAAGATATAATTTGTTCCCAGGTCTGCAACATTCACTTGCTATGGTGTCTATAGTTTGTGCCAATTGCCATCAGTGCAGTCTCTAATGGACCTTTCTCTATCATGCAGAACTCTGATGGAAGTGCACCTATGCTAAAGGAGGAAGATATCGTTGTAACTAATGTCAAAATTGATTTGACTCGCGGAAGAAAAAATCCGCTTGAATGGTAGGTACAGTAGGAAGATCATATCTAGGATATATTTACTATGCTGCACTCTCATAACCAGTGATTGTCTCATACTGCCATCTAAATCATACTCTTTCTATTCTGTTCTTTTCATGATCTCCCATTTCTCCGATCCAGCATCAAATTTTTCAAGGTATCTCAATTTCCTTCCTCATCTGTGTTATCTGGTTTTCTTAGGTGTTTCTTTTTGCCTTTATAATGCAACTTCTGATTAGATTTGCCTCCTGATATTAGTATGGGCCAGAAGAGTTTGTTTACATTTTTACCTAGGAAGGTTGAGCATTAGTTATTGTTTAGAAATTAGAATAGGTTGTACCTTGTTCAAAGAAGGTAAGAATACTAAAGACCCCTTACCTTCAGTATCAAACCCCAATGATGAAATTAGGATATTCTAAGCTCTATTTGGTGCTTAATAAGTAGCTTAGCTGATTTATACAGTTGTAATTGTAAATATAATACGAAGTATAATGTTTGCAGGTGGAGCTGCTTATATATGTCTAATAAATGCCACACGGATTTAATGTTTGTTCTTTTCAGGATTTTGAAAGTAACGAGAAGTTCCACATCAAAGATGATCGTGTCAGTCACTTGCTTCCAGCATTTTATCAGGACATGATCGTTCGAGTTTACTCCAAAAAGCCTGATCTGGTCCATGCGAACATTTCCTTTTTTCCCCTTTTCTTACGAAGTAAAATAGAGAAGCTAAATCATTTTTTACCACCTTTCTCTAATTTTTGATAAAATCATACACAGGTGGGAGCTGTGTCGGAGGCCTTCGAGAACTTTCAGCTCAAAACATATGGGACAAAAACCCAAGTGCATGCTACGCCTGATAAGAAGAAACGCCCAAGGTATATATAGTCATGACCTGGTGGGGCTTATATTTTCAGGAACATAGACATGCACCAAATCAGATAACACTAATCCTCAGTCTCACTATTAGATGTTTAAAAGAACGTAGGTGTACAATTAATTGTACTGTATATATTTGTCCCCCGGTCCGTCTTTAGTTGTAATCATGGTAGTTGTTGATCTGACTGACGCTCTTCTAATACAGATTAATGTTTTTCACTTTATATAAACACTTGGAAGTGTTAGGTGCCTTTTTTTCAACTTTGACTATTGTTCAGAATACCGCAATGCATGATTTGGTTTTTGTACTAAGCTTTTTAACTATTTGCAAACATTCAATTTCCCTCTTAAATTGGTGAAAAAATCAATTTTCCTCTTAAATTGGTGAAATTTAAAAATAAAAATAAAAATAAAAAATCGTATATGTTAGTGGTAAACAATAGAAGGAAATAATGTATGGTTCAGAATACAAGACAGCAGAAGAGTATATTTGATCAGAGATTGAATTTTGAAAATCACAATAGAATTTGCTATACTTCATTTTTTTTAATGTAAGAAGTAACATGCATTAAAACAAGTCAGAATGAAGTACTTCCAAAAGGAAGGCGGGAGGTGTAGACCTCTATTCCTTATGGTCAGCTATAAATACAATTTCCCTAGCTAGTAAATGGGTAACTGAATGAATTCCATTTTTGGTCCTACTGTTATAGGGGTGTTTCCAATTTTAGTCTACCTTAAATTTTTTTGTCATTTTATAACCACTATTATTGAATGTGTTTCACTTTTAGTCTCACCGTTAGTATTTTCATCAAAAGGTCGTGTAATCTAGGGGTGTTTTGACCTTTCTTCTCATCCAATACTATGTTTGACTAAAGAAATGAGAACATTAAATCTAAAACCTAAGAAACCTCGCTGACCCATGTTGGAACGAACGAAACGATGTAGCTTTGGCTTCCCATTCTCGTTGTTCGAAGAGCCATCTTCGGATATTGGAGGAGGAGGACGAAGCGCCTGGATTAAAAGAGAAGAGACAAACATAAAAAGACCAAAATATCCTTTGATTATACCGTCTCTTGACGGAAATATTCACGGTGGACTAAAAGTGGAACACATTCAATAACAGTGGTTGTAAAGTGGCAAAAAAAATTAAAGTGGACTGAAATTGGAAACGCCCCTATAACAGTAGGACCAAAAATGGAATTCACCCTGGGTAACTTTATTTGCGGACAGTTTAACAAATACAAAGTTAACATTACAAAAATTATCAAAAATCATTAGCTAGGATTCTAAAGATTATTCGGAGCTTCCTCTTTTTGGCTGATGGAAGGTAAGCAATTCAACAGTTTCTTCAAAAAAAATTATTCCCAGAGCAACATTGCCATTCCAGAGCTTGTTATAGTGTTCCATAATTTCTAGCACATTGTAAGAACCAGGCAAGTTCGGTCCTCGGACATTAATTCCATATTCCTTGCAATCCATTCCCCCATCTAGTCAGCCCCAACAAAACAAATGTTACTGAAGTAATTTCAACACACCGCTGCTATTTCACATGGGATGAATACATGAGTTATGGTTTCAATGAATACACTCCTGAGGGCAGTTCACTTTCTTTGTAAGGAGATTCGCTGCAGTAGGTAGATTACCGCTACACGCCTGCCAAATTAAACTAGCATTTTAACCTTAGGGGGGATCGGGAGGTTCCACATCTTAGACCACCTATATTCAGGAGAGAGGGGGACTCTCCAGCGAAAGCCCTATAACAATTACGAACTGAATAAATGTCGTTCTCCTCCTTGCTCCAAATGAGTTTGTCTGCATAGTCTTTAATAGGAAATTAGGAATATTGATACTCTGAATCTGTTCCATATCCTCTTAAGTGATAATATCCCTCAAAATTTCAACATCGTCCCACCCTGACTTTTCTATGTTCATGAGAGAAGATACATTTGCTAACTTAAGTTCTACTAGCATGGTTGTTTCAATGAAAGGGGAATCTACATAAGGTAGTCATGGATCCTCCCAAATGTTCATTGAGCTCCCATTCCAAAACCTCCATATGCAATTACCTCAAATAACACCTTGGGCTTCCATGATACTCCGCTAAACAAAGGAGGGGTTACCATAGGCAAATTATGCTGTGAACACGTGCCCACCTTACAAGTTGGGCACGGTTCCATATCTATAATTTCTATACTGTAGATTCATAATTTCTATACTGTAGATCCATAATTTCTATACTGTAGATTCATAAAATTTATACTTCAGATTTCAATTGTTGAACTCTGTTTTCACAAATCAGATAATTATATGTTCATAATTTGATAACTATACAGTTTAGAAATTATGAATTTACAGTACAGAAATTATGAATTTACAGTACAGATATTATGAATCTATAGTATAGAAATTATGAATATTTTTTTTGGTGGAAAGAAATTATGAATATTTTTTTTGGTGGAAAGAAATTATGAATCTATTGTATTTAAATTATAAATCTACGGTTTAGAAATTATGAATTTAAAGTATAAATTTATCCTAAGAACAGTGGAATGCAATAAAAGTTAGAGTGGTGCGTATTTATAAGATTTAGAGAGAAGAGGTGTTGAAACAGTGAAGTCTATAGAGTGCATATTTTATGATGAAGGGGCATTGTATTTTTTGTATTATAGTTTGAATATTTTTAATTCAAAATGTTTTGTTTATGCATATGGTTTTTTACTATATTTTTTTGTAACACTTCAATTTCAGGAAACTTTTCTTCATGCGCATATTCCTAAAGATTATGTTCAAAAGTATTCGGAACGATTTAAAGAAGGCTGAGTTTTTTTGTATAAAGAGTTTTTTGTGATTGCTAATTTTTTGAAGTTCTATTTTAACACAGTTGTGAGAAAATTCAATGATGCAATTTTTCCTAGGCATGTTTGTAACAAGGAAGATTATGATTTCTTTGATGAGGTGCAGTATTGTTTACATTTGTGATTACTTATTTGCCACTAACATTTTTTTCTTTTTGTATAACTTTATTTAGTTATTTGACTTTTCCTGCCTTTTAGGACTTTATGGATGGAGATGTGGCTGAAAGTCCTATTGGAACTTCGGTGTGAAACAAGCAATGTGATGCAAAGGATGGTAGATTTGTTAAAAGCTGTGAATGTTGAGAAGTTGGATTGAAAATTATTAATAAAATGTTTTCGTGTTGAGAGCCTAGCCATTTATGCCTTTCAGGATTAAACATTCTTCCTATGATTGATGGTTGACATTTTACAGGCATTTGTCCATGGCCATTTCAATATTTTTATTTTATTTTATATTTATATAATTTTAAATTTTTGTATTTTGTTTAAATTTGCAAGATTGCATGGTTTTACATTATTTTGAATATGTATTTGTTTTATTTATTTATTCATACCATGTTCATATGCGAAATTATAGTTTAAAAAAAAATATCACAAAAATTAATTATTAATTGAGAATAAAAACGGCACAGAATTTAGGTCATTTGAAATAGGAAATGAATATTAATAATTGACTGAAAATTAATAATGATACCAAACTAACTTAAATGCAAAAAAAAAAAAAAAATGGTCAGACTGCCCAAACAATAGTATATGTAAATTGGTAAAGTATTTTGTTATTAATAATTTACTAGAAATATTTAAAAAAAGAATATGTTAGTAATAATTAACTAATTGACTAATTGATATGTAAAAAAGATTAATTGACTGAGAATAAAAATTACACGGAAATTAGGTGAATTGAAAGAGAGTTAATTCCAGTAATAGTCCCCCGAGTATGATGATTTTCCACAATTGATCCTCGACTTTTAATTTGGACAGTTTAACCACCCGACTATAAAATTCTTTCCAATTGAGGTCATTCCGTTAATATAAGGTTAAGTTGGCGTCTATTTGAGGGTTAAAATTGTCCTTTCCCTTACAGCCTTACTCAGCGTATATTATTACCACCGACGGTCTGTTCTCCGGTGAAGGTACATCACAACCTTGCAGATAATATCTTCTGGGAGAAGATAAATACATTAATATCAGTCTGTTTCTTTCCCAATGCAGTAAAGGTACAAATTAAAATAATTTGCATACATCAACAAAGTAGTCATGGAAGAAGAGACGAATGAGGGAAGCACCCATGCGAGCTTCTGCATTAATGGCGGCGACCACTACTTCCTTAACGGTCGAGAATACACGCGCTTCATCGGCAAGCATACCGCCGGAGAGTTTCCCAAGACCAAGCGACAACAGGTTGGTCGACTGTTGTTACGCCGGGAACACCCAAAAGCAACACTCAGGAATCTCGAAATTTATTTTATTCATATACTTGTGCTCTGTTTTATATATGCCTGATACAACATTGGGGGAATGAAGATGAAGATAAAATATACCCTTAGGAGGGAAAGGACGCTTTTTACCCCTTGTTTTGACGTCCCATTAACCAAGATTTAACGGAAGGACCGCAATTGGAAAGATTTTAATAGTCAGGTGATTAAATTGTCCAAATTAAAAGTCAAGGACGAATTGTGGAAAATCACAATACTCGGGGGACCATTGCTGGAATTAACTCATTGAAAGATGAAGTGAATATTAATAATTGATTGAAAATTAAAAAAAAATGGTCTCAAATTAACCGAAATGAAAAAGGAAATGACCAAACCGTCTAAACAATAGTATATGTAAATTGGAAAATGATATTATTAATATTTAACTTAAAATATTAAAAAAAAAATAATATGTTATTAATAATTAACTAATTGATATGTATTACAAAAAATAATTGACTGAGAATATAAATGACACAGAAATTAGGCAAATTGAAAAAGAAAATGAATATTAATAATTGTCTGAAAATTTAAAATGATCCCCATATTATCTATTTCGAAAAGGAAACGGGTTAACTATAGTATAGGTAAATTGGAAAAAGTATTTGTTATTAATAATTGAATGAAAATATTAAACATAAATATGTTATTAATAATTAACTAATTAATTAGTATTAAAAATAATAATTAACTGAGAATAAAAATGGTACGAAAATTAAGCAATTAGAAATGAAAATGAATATTAATACTTGATTAAAAATGATCACAAATTGATTCAAATGGAAAAAGGAAATTACTAAACCGCCCAAATAATAGTATAGATAAATTGGAAAATGAATATGTTATTAATAATTGACTGAAAATATTAAAAAATAATCTATTATTAATAATTAATTAATTGACATGTAATAACACAATAATAATTGACTGAGATAAAAAAATGGCACAAAAATTATGCCAATTAAAAAAGGAAATGAATTGATATTAATAATTGGCTGGAAATTAAAAATGATCTCCGATTAACTATTTTGAACAGAAAATGTATTAACTATAATATAGGTATTATATGGGATACATATGGTTCTGAACTTATTGATTTTTATATGAAATATAGTTATGCAATGAGTACAACTATTTTGAGAATACTTTGCACAAAGAAGATTGTTACTACGTTATTGCATGACTATGTTAATTATATGTCAATTAAAAAAGAAATGAATATTAATAATTGATAGAAAATTAAAAATAATCCGGATTAACTATTTCGAAAAGGAAACGGATTAACAATAGTATATGTAAATTGGAAAAAGAATCTATAATTAATAACTGACTGAAAATATTAAAAAAAAAATCTGTTATTAATAATTAACTAATTGATTGATATGTATTAAAAAAAATAATTGACTATGATTAAAAATAGCAAATAAATTAGGCCAATTGAAAAAGCTAAGGAAATGAATAATACTATTTGACTCAAAATTCTAAATGATCCCCGAATAACTATTTAAAAAAGAAAACGGATTAACTATAGTATATGTATTATATGGAGTACATATAGATCCGAGCTCATTTATTTCTCAGAGAAAATCGTAATGCAATGGACAATGGTCAATTTTATGTGGCTTTTTCCTGAGTCACCCAGCATGATGGTATGAAGGTGTTAATCCTAGACGAGGGTGGACAAGATTCTGTTGCTACTACTAATGTCGTCTACAAAGAGGTTTTCAATAATGTATAATTTCAACCAGTGATATTATGTTTTCTTTTTATGCGAAGATGACAAAATTGGTATATATCTACATAGAAATATATCTTCCATAGCAAATGATTTATATAACTGGGTTGCTAGACAACGAGCAAATTTGCCACTTAATATAAATCATAAACACTGATATATAAAATCTCTAAAGTTTTAGCACCGGATGCGTACATCTACGCAATGGCTATTAATTGGACAATTATTTGCTCGAATTCAAGTAATGATAACATCAGAAAATACAGTCGATACAACTCAATTCTTCAATTGCATTATATAATATTCAATGCTATAATTTACATAATTATATATCGATACAAATATTCTTAAAATATTATAACAAATTTTCCGTGCATCGCATGGGTGAAAATACTACAGTAATATATATAAAATTGATCTATATTATCAATAAATAATAAATAAATAAATAAATAAATAAAAACCACGTTAGCCCAGAGAAGCTATGTTAGAAGTTTTATTAGGCGTTTTTACCAATCGTTGTGGGACAAATAAAAAGAGGTATCTTCGAGGGCTTAATCCTAAAATTCACCACAGCGCAGAAATAACTCAAGTCGAGGAGCTCTCTATCTAACAATGGCGGACGCAACTCCTCCTCAAGATCCCACTGATTCCAATCCTCAACGAGAAACCGATTCCATTGACCCGAAACCTCAGCCCGATCCCTCTACCTCTACCGAACCAACGCCTCCCGCACCTTCATCATTATTTCCGCCGCCAAACGCTAACCCTAGCACTCCGCCGCCGCCCTCTCTAATCTCTCCGCCGTCGATCCAGCCTTTCCCTGCCCCCACTTTCCGCCCGGCGACGCCGCCTGCTCCGGTACCCGGTACTGCTCCTCAATTCTCGCCTATCCCTACCCCTGGCTTGCAGCAAACTCCGAACTATCAGACCACGCCTGGGATTCCGCCCCCTGGAGTCAGCTCCGTGTCGCCGGTTATGATTGCACCTCCTCCGGGGGCTCCGGCTGCCGGTGCTGGGGTTCCGATGGGTTATGTTCAGCCGCCTTTTGCGATGCCAGGGCAGCCATTGAGACCCTATGCTCCAATACCGAATGGTTATCCAGGCATGCCTCAGCCTCTTCACCAAGGTGGCGCCCATCCTCCAGGTGGGGTTCTCTCTTTTGACTGTCTATTATTTGTGTATGAATAAGACCGTGTGTTTTTGAAATTTCGCATGTTTTAATGTTCTGTGCATATACTATTGACTAATGATGAGAAAAATAAGATTCTTCTATCAGTATGGGTCAAAAGATCTTTACTTTTAGGAGCACAAGAAATCAAGAATGCAAATTTTACTTTCTCGAGGGCTTATGTGATTTAAAAAGTTATTTTTCATGGCGTGAATAAGTAAAAAAATAAAATTAATATGGTTGAGAGGAGTTGTGGGGCAGACTTGTGTTAGTTGGATTAGGGGCCTCAATGACAGGATGTTTTCTCCTACAGTGTTTGGATTGATTTGGTGATAGAAGTCGGATGGCTTCATATTGCAGTTCTTTAGAGACCACTGACTACCCCACTACTAAATTTTTGGTATGCAAACAACTGCTTAGCTTCCTTTTAAGTTGTTGCATGAACTTCATAGGAATTAAAGCTTGAAAATTCAGTACCCAGGCTGTAAAAATATGCCTGTCACTTTCCCATGCTATGTAATGTCTGATTGTGCAGTGCTCATTTAGTAGGCTTATTTGTAGTAATAAGGATTCTTTCCCTTTGGTGGGATATTGATTCTTGATATGCCAGCAGAGGACCATGTTAACAACTGAGTGCTCATTGCCTTTTTATCCCAAGGTATCACAATCCTTTCAATTTTGCCTACCTAAATTGTATTTCTTGCATTCCTTATGCTGTACACAAGGATGTTAATGGTTGATATGTTCCATATTAGAACATAATATAATATTGTGTCATCACTGCATCAGTGGAATTGATAGTGAGACACTGAAAATCAGGGTCTCATCTTACTCTTATCAAATCCTCACTTTGCATGCATGGGATTTTGGATAGTTTGAGAAGCCATTTTTGTCAAGTATAAGCATAAGGTAAGTCCAGCTCACATATTCATGTTTTATAAATTCGATATTATTCTCTTGATGTTCAGGTTATTTGTTGTTCAGCTGGTGAGTGTTGTCATGCCTATGGTGCCATCTCTTATTGCTTGTAATGTTTGGTAACAGTATTAGTTTATTGTGGAAATTTTTATGCCTATTATACTTACAACTTGTTCAAGCTTTCAATATGAGCATGCACTGATAAATTTGCATAGAATTCTTCGTTGATTTTTGCAGGAATTCTTCGTTATCCCTCACCATACCCAATGGTCCGGCAAATATACCCTCCTCGCCCACCGATAGGTGTAGGCATTGTTCCTCCCTTGATGCGCCCGCCAGTTCCTGTCATTCGTGGTCCAATCATTCCTCCTGTTATTAGGCCGGCTCCCTCTCCACTTGTTACACAAACAGAGAAAACTCATATAACAGTTTATGTTGGCAAGATATCTCCAACTGTAGAAAATGATTTCATGCTTTCTCTATTGCAGGTGTGATTTCTCTCTCTCTCTCTCTCTCTCTATATATATATATATATATATATATATATATATCTCCTATTAGTTTTGAATTTTTTAAATCTGTATGTTTATTACTTCTTTATATTCTCTGGAGTTTAAACTTACAATGTGTTGCCTGCTATACATGTCAATGGGAATGATGCTTTGGGTTCTGAATTTTGTTCAATTTTAAAGCTCTGTGGGCCTGTAAAAAGTTGGAAGCGTGTTCAAGATCCTACAAATGGAACATTAAAAGGTTTCGGATTGTGTGAATTTGAGTCTGCTGAAGGTGTTCTTCGTGCATTGCGATTGCTTAGCAAATTAAGTATTGATGGGCAAGAATTGATGGTAAGACATTTTCTCGGTTTCTATACACGTAACACGTGTGTGCATGCACACACATATTGATGTTATCCATACTCCTTTGTCAATATATCTGTTGCTTTTGTATAAATGTATATGAATATCTAATGCTTGTTTAGCCCAGCGTATTTGGAACTTCTTCTTTTTGGACCGGATAAGCTCCAAAATAAGCTGGGTGAAGCAGTAAAAATATGAAAAGCGTTTTTAGCTCAGATAAAAGATAAATCCTCGTTTTTTTTTTTTTTTTTTGAGAGCGATAAATCCTCGTTTTAGAAGCTCCAAATTAAGACTTTCTAGAAATGTCTTAAAGAAGACATCTGATTGGCCAACCAAGTACCTAATATTACTATATTAGTTCTCATGAAGACAACACAGCTACACCTAGTATTTTGTGTTGCTAAAAATCATTCTGTACTTTCTACTAATTCCTCAACATATTTGCTGTCATAAAGTGAGTGAGTTTCATTGCTAATTTGGTTACCTTTGTAAATTTTCAGTTGAATGTCAATCAAGCAACTAAGAAATATCTTGAACAATATGTTAAAAAGAAAATAGAAAGCTCAACTAAACCCAAAGATCAGGAGGATACTGGAGGGGCTGACAAAGGGGAAGAAAATGTGTCAGATGCTGAAAAAAGTGAAGCTTCAAAGACCGCCTCAGAACACCCAGAGCCCACCCCAGAAGACTCAAATAAAGATAATGAGAAGGAAAATAAAGAAAACCATGATACCAGCACCTTTGGCCTTGTTACTGATGAAGATAGGCAAGCTGACCAGGAGGCCTCGGAGAAGCTTACAGACATGATAAAGGAAAGGATAAAGAATAAACCATTGCCGCCACCACCTCCGCCCCCTCAGTTATTACCTACTGATGCTGGTGGCAACTTGAATGTGGAAAACCATTCTAGGTCAAAAGATGGGGAATCAGATGCAGATGCAGTAAAAAATGGTGAGTTTTGTGGCATTATCATTTTCAGTTCAAACCCTTCTCTGCTATGCCCTTTTCTTTTAAGACCAGACCTACCTGAGGTAGCTTCATATTACTTGTAATGATGTAGTGATTTAAAAATCATTTCATTGCATGTCGTAATGTATTTTTGCTAATGCATCAGAAGTAAAAAATGAAGATGACTTGACAAGCGAAAGTAAGCCATCAAGTGAGCATGATAGAGAAGGAACAAGCTCTCCTGATCGTAGAAGGCATGATAGGAGCAGTAGAGACCGGGACCGAGACATAAAGAGGGAGAAGGAAAGAGAGCTTGAAAGATATGAGAGAGAACGGGAGCAAGAGCGGGCTAAGAGAGAAAAGGAGAGAGAGTACAAAATTCGGGACGATGAGCGTAGGTATAAGGTACGAGAAAAGGAATGGGAGTCTAGAGAAAGGGAGAAAGAGCATTGGAGGAAAAGAGAGCGGGAAAGAGAGAAAGAAAGGGCACATGAGCGCAAGTTGGAAATAATGGAACAAGAACATGATGGTGATGATGGTTACAAAAGGAGGAAATACAGAAGTAGTGATGAGGAGAGAAAAAGGAGACACAGAGAAAAAGAAGATGACTTGGCCGACAGATTGAAAGAAGAAGAAGAGATTGCTGAGGCTAAACAGAGGGATGATGAACAACAGCGAAAGAAAGAGCAAGAGGAGGCATTAAGAATCCTATCTGGTCATGTAGCTAATGGACATGACAGGGCTGTTTCACCTGAGAAAAACAATCGCGAAGATAAGAGTGTTGTGATCACTTCTGATCTGAATTTGAGTCACAGTAATTGCTCTTTTCCTTGTTCTTTTATGAAATTTACAGATATATTAGGGTCTTCCTCCCATCTTTTTCTAAAGTGATTTTGTCTGTAAATGACAGGTGAAGCACTTGCACATAATAGTATTGGTGATGAATCAATGTGGGCAGCTACTGCTGCATCAGATACAAGGCAAAATAGCAATGCCCCAGCTAAAAAGTTGGGATTTGGCCTACAAGGGTCAGGAAAAAGAGCTGCTGTTCCTTCAGTATTTAATGAGGATGAGGATGAGGACATGCAAAAAGAGAAGAAAATGAGACCACTTGTTCCAATTGATTACTCAATAGAAGAGCCGGTTGTCCATCCTTCCATTTCTGAAGCACCCTATTTGATCTCAACTACAGCAATAGAAACTGCAAAACGTATTTCTAATGTTAACTCTAAAGAGGATAGGCTGGATGCAGAAAAGGATAGAAGCAGAAGGTCTCATGAAAGATCTAGTCATCGGGAACGTGAAAGGCATGATGAAGAGAGCCGAAAGGAAAATGTTGACCATGACCGAGCTCGGGAACATAGGCCTGAAAAAACGCGGACTCCAGATAATCAGAAGCTTTTAGATGCAAAACAACTGATCGATATGATTCCAAAGACTAAAAATGAGTTGTTTTCGTACGAGATAAATTGGGCTATCTATGACAAGGTGAGATATGAAACTCTTCCCTATATGTTCTATTGTGAATTTACAACTGTCTTGTTGAGTTTTAACAAATAATATAGGACTAATACTTGTCAGTATGTTTGTTGCTAGAAATAAGTAATCCTTAAGTTGCGTTATGTAATAGGTTTTTCGCAACTCATAATTATAAGCTTTACCAAACAGGCACAGTATGTCTTTAGCTTGCTAGGTGAAGGTTTTTAGCCAAAAAAAAATTGCCACCTTACCATGGGGAGGGCGATTGGCCCACCCCTCTTAAGTTTGACATGGCTATAAGTGCATATATATAGTTGGTTGGTTTTCAAGTGGGATAACATCCCTTCCAAGAAATGTAGAATTGATAATGTTTTAAGGTGAAAACAAGATGTAATTTTCTCTTCCTCTGGTATTCTGGAAGATATCTTTGAGGCTTCTTGTTTTCACCACAAGAACATTTCTTATCATATGAAGTATGGAGTGGTTAATGGCTAATTGTTGATCTGTTGTCATAACATCATGGGTCCAAGTTCTTGAAACCTCTGAAGAGAGAGGCAAGGTTTTATACATCTTTGTATATAGCTTCTATGAGGCTGTAACCTTGTATGTCATAACATCATGTGTCCAAGTTCTTGAAACCTCTGTTGTGAAAAGAGGTAAGGTTTTTTATACATCTTTTTATATTAGCTTCTATGAGGCTGTAACCTTGTATATTGGTTTTGACCTTTTATCATTGCTCATCACTCATCTCAACATTTCATGGGGCTCTTTTCTGAACTTGCTTTTTCCTTCTTTTTTGGAGTGGCAAATTTTATCTGTCTTTTTCAAGCTTTATAGCTTCAGCCTCATCATTGAAAATGCACTGCTGGACATTTTTTTGCTAGTTCCATTGTCTAAGGTTCTAGTAGAAATACTTAATTCTAATAATCTGCCTACAATATAAATTTTGACAGGAAGAAAGTGATTATCTCCTATTGTAATAGAAGACATTTTTATCTCCTATCCCTCAATCCTGCCACTTTTTTGTTTTTTGTTTTTTGTTTTTATATATACTAGACTAGAAATGATTTATTCTTAAAACTCTTACAGTTCATATTGCATTTCACAATTTTAGCAACTTGTATTTTATCTAATTGAAAGTGTTATCATTCGTTCTCACTTCACAGAATGAACTGCATGAGAGAATGAGGCCATGGATTGCTAAGAAGATTACAGAATTTCTGGGAGAGGAGGAACCCACATTGGTAGACTATATAGTCTCCAGCACTCAAGAACACGTGAAGGCGGCTGAGATGCTGGAGAGACTGCAAGCAATATTAGATGAAGAAGCCGAAATGTTTGTTTTGAAGATGTGGAGGATGCTCATCTTTGAAGTCAAGAAAGTTGAAACTGGTTTGGCTTCCAGGTCTAAGTCTTAATTTTGTTTCCTGTTTATTTTCATATCATGTTTGTTGTCTTGGAGCCATATCTCTGTGTACTAGTATTTTCCTTTCTTTTTTGCCCCCTTGACTCCTGGAAAATCACATTGCTACAGGACCTAAATGATGGAAAACACAATAATACTTGCTCATTTGGTATCCATTTTCTTCTATGCATAATGGGATTTGGGTTTCTTCAAGTCTTAGCTCATCTGGAGTTAAACTGATGATAGTTAAACCAGAACAGATAGTTTCTTCATATGAATGAATGTTTCCAATCATGAAATATTGGCAATTTATGGTTTTGCACAAAAAATAAAATGAAATAGATATTGACATTTTCAATAGACGTAGGCGAACAAGCTATGGAAATTTGATTGTCATATTGTCCCATTCACTTTCTATTTTGAAAGAACGAAACTATTTATGGTATTGCAGAAACTTAAAAAAAAATCGAACACTGTTTGTACTTACGGAGGTTGTAGGTATATACTCTTGATTCTTGAAGTTGTGTTTGTAGGATTGTGTCTTTTGAGTTTGTATATATATGCCTTGCCTATTGTCTCTCCATTGAGAAAATGAAGTAACACATCAGATTCTTTTAAATCTTTCTTAACATGGTATCAGAAGCCAATTAAAAATTTTAAAGTTTTTTTTCGTGAACAGTAAAAGTTATTGTTCATTTAAAACTATTTTCTCAAATTACTTGCTATTAGTAAGAGTTTTTGTCAAATTGGTGTAACCCATCCCTTCTACAATCTTTGGCGAGCCTGACCCAGTAAACGCCTTCACTGACTTTCATGCGCTGGCACAATCGTCGGCCCTCCGATCTCACGCGCCGTCGCGTGTGACCATCTGCGGCAGAATTTTTCGACGGCCCTCCGATCTCACGCGCCGTCGCGTGTGACCATCTGCGACAGAATTTTTCGACGATAGTTTTCATATCTTCCCGTTGGTTATCTGCGACTCCATCTGTGCAATCCATTTTCTTTTTGGTAACAATGTCCTTTGATAGAAATTTTGTTAATATTGGTACGCTTCTTTCTCTTGCCAGTTTTATGCCTACTGTTTCGACTCTATTTATGTGCCTAATTTGTTTGGAAGCTGGTGATTACTTCCAAAAAATTATGTGGGTCTCAAAATTACCAATTTTGGTCTGATGCCATTGAGTTATGGTTTATAGGCCAAAGAGTTGCTACCCAGTACCCACTTACAAAAGTGAGTAGATGAAATATCAGAAAATGAAATGGCAATTTGGCAAAGGTTAGATGCTCAGCTATGTAGCCTCCTTTGGCAGTCTCTTTCTCCACAATTGTTGCCTCTCTTCAAGCCCTGACATGTGTGGAGGTATGAAATCAAGCTAAATCTTTATACACTAATGATGTCTCTCAATTCTACAATGTTGTTGCTAATTTAGTTAACTTGAAGAAAGATGGTATTGGTATGGAAACTTTTCTTGGCAAAATCCAAAGTTTGATAACTGAGTTTAGTACACTCATGCCTATTGACCGTACACCTGCAGAACAACTTACCCAACGAGAAAAATTCTTTGTAGTACTTTTCTTAACCAAATTAGGTCCAGAATTTGAAAGTACCTAGAATCAAATTCTTGGAAGTAACATTGTTCTAGGGCCAACCGAATTGTTCAAACATCTCTTGTAGGTAACCTCCATTCCTATTGTTCACACATCTACTCCCGAACAATCAGCTCTAGTAACACAGGAGGATGTGGACGAACTAAAGATCGTGTTGAACAGAAAAACACTAGATTTTGTGATTATTGTAATAAACTTGGACACATACAGGACCGATGTTGGAAACTTCATGGGAAACTGGTGTTAACCCAGTCAAGTGTTGTTCAATCTTAATCTCAACTCGGAGAACAAAATTCTCGAACCATTTCCGCTGCTGAATATGAAGAGTTTGTTCGATTTAAAACCAATGCCAAGGCTCGCGGTGTCACTCTTGCAGCCTATACTAAAGGAGCTCATACTGCCCTTGTAACACAATCTAGCCTACCCGGACCATGAGTTATCGATTCAGGTGCGCCTCTGAGCATGTCATCTTTATTTTCTCATTTCACCAAGTCTAAGTCTCTTCTATCTATTGTTTTCGGCAATGGGTCAAAAAGTACTACTACTGCAATTGAAAAAACTTCCTCCCTTCCTACTTTGCTTCTCACAGAATTAATTCATTAATTATAATAATATATATTATACATTAGTTTACATACATACATACATTCTGCTACTGAATATGAAGAGTTTGTTCAATTTAAAACCAATGCCAAGGCTCCCGGTGTCACTCTTGCAGCCTACACTAAAGGAGCTCATACTGTCCTTGTAACACAATCTAGCCTGAGCGGACCATGAGTTATCGATTCAGGTGCCTTTGAGCGTATCTCTTCTTTATTTTCTCATTTCACCAAGTCTAAGTCTCTTCCATTTATTATTTTCGGTAATAGGTCAAAAAGTACTACTGCAATTGGAAAAACTTCCCCCATTCCTACTTTGCTTCTCACAATTAATTCATTAATTATAATAATATTATACCTTAGTTTACATACATACATACACACTTACATTCTGCTACTGAATATGAAGAGTTTATTCGATTTAAAACCAATGCCAAGGCTCTCGGTGTCACTCTTTCAGCCTACACTAAAGGAGCTCATACTGCCTTGTATCACAATCTAATCGATTCAGGTGCCTCTGAGCCTATCTCATCTTTATTTTCTCATTTCACCAAGTCTAAGTCTCTTCCATCTATTGTTTTCGGTAATGAGTTAAAGAGTATTACTACTGCAATTGGAAAAACTTGCCCCCTTCCTACTTTGCTTCTAACAGAATTAATTCATTAATTATAATAATATTATACATTAGTTCATATATATATATATATATATATATATATATATATATATATATATATATATATATATATATATATATATAAAATAAAAATTGTTTATATTGAAATGAATATTCAGTTTGTTCTACTAAGAAGAATCATCTGTAGAAATAAGAGAAAACTTTAGAATAAGATACGGGTGTAAACGAGCCGAGCCGAGCCGAGCTCGAGCCTGGGTAGGCTTGAGCTCGTGCTTGTTAATGGAGGCTCGACTCGAGTTCGAGCTCGAGCTCGAGCTCGGAGCTCGAGCAGCTCTATTGTTCGAGCTCGAACTTGAGCTCGATTTTGATATTGAATTTGACATATTTAATACTTTTGGTTTAAAATTCAAACTAATTTGTTTTATCCATACATAAATAATAGAAATCTTTTAGGGATTTTGAGTTGAAAATTCTAATTTCTAATTGTTATTTATATATATTATTATTATATTATATTATATCATTATATATATATATATATATATATATATATATATATATATATATATATATATATATATTATATGGGTCGCGAGCGGCTCGACGAGCCACGAGCCTAGAATATCTAGGCTCGGCGCGAGCTCGATTACTAAACGAGCCGCTCGAGCTCGACTCGAGCTCGATATTGACCGAGCTCGAGCCGAGCTTTGACCGAGCCGCTCGCAAGCGGCTCGTGAGCTGCTCGGCTCATTTACACTCCTAGAATAAGATAACAAAGGAGTTTCCCCATTAAGTTGTTAGACGACACTACTATATATATATATATATATATATATATATATATATATATATATATATATATATATATATATATATATATATATATATATATATATATATATTACGATCCACTTGTCTTATTACAAAGTAGATAATTAATCCTTAATCTTTTCACTGCACGAACTACGTACACAATAAAGTCTTTGAAATAATTTTAAGATGAGTTTTCAACGCAAATTAAATATAGACTCGTCTCTGCTTTATTTTTTCTTGCCATTGGATTTCGCATCACTTGCAATTGCAAGGGTTGCATGTGCAGTTGTACCCGCACTTGAACCCATTCTCAGATGCGACATCCCCATCACAGATCCCTCCAACTTGCCGCAAAACACAAACAATTCATTAACCATTGAAATCCTTAACCCCCACGAAAAAAAATATTTTGAGAACTCCAGATCTATCAAATTTCAAAATAAATGTATCTTCAATTTCTACTTTATCATTGGATCACCTAAAACAAATGAATGAAATCATGATAAGGAAGGCAAACAAACACATATCAAAGAAGAGGAAAGTGACAAAAAAAATGAAGAAGATGAAAATGAAGAATTATGATCGGGATTGTCCAAAAAATAAAAAAGCGAATGAGAACACACATGTCGAAGAAGAGGAAAACGCACGGAAACTGAAAAAGAGGAAAATGAAGAATTATGATTGAGATTACCAAAAAAAAAAAATGAATGAAAACATGATTTAAAAAAAAAAGAAGCAAAAGAAAACATAGATCGAAGAAAAGGAAAATGAACGAAAAATGAAGAAGTTGAAAATGAAGAATTATGATTTATTTAATTACCAATCTATTGTATTTATAGGTGGAAAATGTGAGAATTATAAATTTGTATGATTTTTTGAAAAGAAAGTGTAATCATTTATTTGAAGTCTTTAAATATTAATCCTAAATGACACTTTTGTCTAATGATGTTGATATTACTAAATTGTCCATGAATTTGGGTGGGAAAATCTCACAATCACTTCTGTTATAATATATATATATTTTAATTTTAATATATATATATATTTGAATGCTACTAGCTCTATTACAATGTAGTATCTGTTATTACAATGTAGTATCTGTTCATATACTTTCTCATCCTATTGAAACACAAAAAGCTAATAACACCTCCACTGAGGCTTGAACTCACAACCTTCGAAATCGAAGTCCAACCCGAATACCATTAGACCACATAGTCCTAGTATATATATATATATATATATATATATATATATATATATATATATATATATATATATATATATATATATATATATATATAAATACCCAAAATGGTCCCTCGACTATAGCTAAATTCACAAATTAGTCCTCAACTTTCAATTTCAACCAATTAAGTCCTTAACTTTGTAATTTTAACACAATTTGGTCCTCTGTCTATTTGACCGTTTGTTGACTGTGATTTTTGAGAATATATATGTATTTTCATGGTCCATCATCGGTTTTTTAAGGTTCCGGTTGCATTTTCAGACCGTACTGTTACATTCGAATCCACTGCCGAAAGCAATCTACCAAATTCGGTCGCCTTTCTTCATCCTCCCTTTGGATTCAATGTAGTTGAGTTCGTACCAGAGCGAAGAAGACGACGTGTTTCCGAACCGGTGCAACGTCATCCTGGAGGCTTCCACGTGCTCCGACGAAGCTGAAGGTTCTTCTGGAGATCGTCGATCACGGTCAACAAATGGTCAAATAGATGGAGGACCAAATCGTGTCAAAATTGCAAAGTTAAGGACTTAATTGGTTAAAATTGAAAGTTGAGGACCAATTTGTGAATTTAGCTATAGTCGAGGGACCATTTTGGGTATTTACTATATATATATATATATATATATATATATATATATATATATATATATATATATATATATATATATATATATATATATATATTCTCCCTAATTAGGGTTTCTCTCTAAATATCTCCCTACTAGGGTTTCTCCGTTTTTTGGCGGTACTTTCGATCGACGTTGACGCAGTCCAGCAGCATGGCAAGCATGAATCAGCGCCGATATGATGATGGAGTTGAGGCAGCGACCGAACGTTGGGAGGATATGGTTCTGGAAGGCGAGGAAGTCGGCGTGGAAGCGGGTGACGCTTTCGAACCGGCGTCGGGCATAGGGGCGGTCGTCTACTCGGTAGTCGGCCGTTTCTTGACTAAGAAGCTAATTAAGATGGAGTATATGCGGCATGTTTTAGCCTCGGTATGGCAGCCAGTTATGGGAATGCGGGTAATGGAATTGCACTCTAATTTATTCTTCTTCCCCTCCACGACTCGGGCATGGCAACGGTAGGGGCGGTGCTCTTCGATGCAGCCATGGCGGCCGCAACAATGCATGCATGGTGCAATGCACGGTCCACCGCCAGTACCACGCCACCACCATTACCCGACCACCCGGGAGCTGTTGGGGAACCACCACCGCCGCACGAACACATAACCGCCGCGCCTCCCATCTCAGCGGTACCACTGCCCAGAAATTGCCGAGTCGACGCCGGCTACCTCCACGACTCGGGCATGGCAACGGTAGGGGCGGTGCTCCTCGATGCAAATGGAGAATATGTAGCGGCTTTCAGTGCTCCTCTCCCGGTTTGTTTTTCACCACTCATGGCCGAGGCATTCGCGTGCAAGGAAGCATTATCATGGCTGAAGGACCGGGGCGAAAGATTAGTACATCTCTACACAGATTGCCTATCATTACAACGATATCTCATCTCACCACCATCTACAGTTCGTTCGTATGTTGGCTATGCTATTGATAGCTGCAAGTCTATTACAGCTTCGTTTGATTTCTGTTCTTTTAATTTTATCCCTAGATCAGACAATTATTTAGCTCATGCTTTAGCATCTGCTGCGTTCCAGTAGCCTACTATTATGTATTGGGATCTTCCCCACCAGACATTATTGCAGCTTATTTCTAATGAAGGCACCACTATGTGTTCGTGCGGCGGCGGTGGTTCCCCAACAGCTCCTGGGTGGTCGGGTAATGGCGGTGGCGTGGTACTAGCGGTGGACCATGCATTGCGCCATGCATGCATTGTTGCGGCCGCCATGGCTAATAACTTCCTTGGTCGCGGCAGGATAGCATCCCACACTGCTCCGTTCCGTGCTCTCCAAATATGGTATAAAATTGCTGTTGTATGTAATATTCCATTAGATGAACGTTGCTATTCAATTCAAACTGATACAGGATAGGTACAATATACTAACACAACTAAACTATCGTAACTTAACCATGTAGACTAGGAATAGACATAACAATAAACTATTATCTCTCACACTCCCCCTCAAGTACAAGGTTGAACTGGGACAACATTGAGCTTGTCACGTAGCCCGGTGAAGCGGAGAGCCGGCAGTGGCTTGGTGAAGATATCTGCGACTTGGTCCTTTGTAGAGATGAAATTGACTTGGAAGGCCCCTGAAGCCACTTTGTCTCGTACGAAGTGATAATCAATCTCTACGTGCTTAGTCCTGGCATGGAACACCGGGTTGGCGCACAGGTAGGTAGCACCGAGATTGTCGCACCAAAGTGTTGCAGGACGGTCGGAGTGTAGCCCAAGCTCACGAAGTAAGGAGATAACCCAAGTTACCTCAGCGGCAACATCAGCAAGGCCTTTGTACTCGGCTTCGGTCGATGAACGTGCGACAGTGCGTTGTTTCCGTGATACCCAGACACCAGGTTGGTGCCAATAAAGACCGCATACCCACTTGTGGACTTGCGATCCACCGGACAGCCGGCCCAGTCGGAGTCCGAGTAGGCGTGAATATCCGTAGACGGTGAAGCAGCTAGCCGTAGCCCGTACGCCAGGGTGCCTTTAACATAGCGTAGAACCCGCTTGAGAAGACTCCAGTGTTCCTGCGTAGGAGCATGCATGAACTGGCACAAACGGTTTACAGCATAAGAAAGATCAGGCCTAGTAATAGTTAAATATTGTAGGGCACCCGCCAGACGACGGTATTGGGTCGGATTATCAAACAGATCAGCTGTTGTAGACACAGGCTGTGTGAGTGAAGCCGGGGTGGCGAGTGGTTTGCAGTCCGTCATACCTGCACGAGCTAGAATGTCCCGCATATAACGGCGTTGTGACAAAACCATCCCACCGTCTATTGGTATAGTGATAGGAATATTTTTGTAAGTTTTGATGAGCCAAATGTATCTTTAGATCCCCTTGGTTTTTAAGTCTTTAGTACAAGCATCATAAATCAGAATATTGAAATCAGAAGGAATCTACCATAGGAAGAACAAAATTAATTTGAGAAATTAATTTTGGCCCTACGAGTATTCATCCGAGAAAGAAGCATAAAGCAATGGCGTTGCAAGGAATGATCGGATGAGCTTAACGGTGAAATGGTAGAGGTCCTTATTCTAAACGATCACACCCGAGATCGATTCCCCCCCAAGGAACTATATTTTTAATAAGGCAGATTTTTGAAGGAGCTCGATGTGTGCTCAAAAGAGCACAATGTGTGCTAAAGGAGCACGATGTGTTCAAAAGAGCACAATGTGTGCTAAAGGAGCACGATGTGTTCAAAAGAGCACAATGTGTGCTAAAGGAGCACAATGCTTATCAAAAGAGCACAATGTGTGTTAAAGGAGCACAATGTGTCCGAAGGAGCACGATGCTCACCAAAGGAGCACAATGTGACCAATTCTGCTAAGAAGCACAATGCTGCTAAGGAGCACAATGCGAAGAAGCACAATGCCACCTAAGAAGCACAATGTTGTCTAAGAAACACAATGTTGTCAGAAGAGCACAATGTATCGAAAGAAGCACAATGTTCAAAGTCAAGGAGCACGATGTTTAAGTCAAAGGAGCACAATGTGGCAAAAGAGCAAGATGATCAGAAATTGGATAAATTCGAAGGAATTTACTCCAAGTCCACCCACATGCCACAAGACTCCAAAATTGCCTGAAAGACATTTGATCAGAACGGAAAAATATTTATGAAGGCATGAATATAAAAACTTATCCTAGAAATAAATTCTATCAGATGAATTTATTTCAAAGATTCGTTGGATATTCAAATTGACAATTAAAGTAATATTTTTAGAAACAACTAGAAAATCAAAGTTGTGCTAGAAATAATTACTTTGTCAGGCAAGTTGACAAATCAAATCAAAATTGAAGATCTACTGTCAACAATATCAGGCTATGAAGATTCAAAATTCAAATATCAAATTATCCCACTCCAACGGATATATTTGATTAAGTATAAAAAGCCATGAAGACTTGAAGACAAAGGGCGTGAGAAGAACAGAGAAAAACGAGATAGAATACAAGTACAAAATTCAAAAGTGCTAGTGCTCAAATATTCAAAGAGACTTAGTCTGAATAGTCTCAAAATCTAGTTGGAGAGAGAAATACAAATCCTTGTATTTGTAAACTGTAGAAAGAGTATAGCTGTGTGCAAAATACTCTAGTGAGTGTAGCTGTGTGCAAAACACTCGTAGTTGCTAAGTGTAGCTGTGTGCAAGACACTTAGTTGGCGTTGAGTATAGCTGTGTGCGAAATACTCGGAGTTGAGTGTAGCTGTGTGCGAGACACTCGGAGCAGGGTGTAGCTGTGTGCAAGACATCCGGAGGAAGTGCCTGTGTAGCACTTGTTCACTATTGTAACTGTGTGTGGAAAATAGTGAATTTCTCCTAGACGTGAAAGGAGAAAAGTGGACTAGGAAGATTACGCCACTTCCGAACCACTATAAATTGCCTCTCTCATTTACATACCGCACTTACTTTATTTGCTATATCTATCTATCTCATCCGACTAACCCGTTTACTATTCACAGTTAATTTTAATCATCCGGGTTTAGTGTGTTCTCACGTATGCATGTGACTCAAACTTCTCGAGCTTAAATAGTGATTTATTCTAAGCAAGTTTGACGTGTTGCATGTAACATTCGTCACACGTTCGACGTGATACGATATTTATTTACAATCTTGAATATTGTCATTATATATTGAGTGAACCATCTCCTCTATATATTCAAGATATCTCTGTTACTTTACATATCATTTGTACCTAACTTACTTATACCTGCACACTTAATTTACTAGTTGGGCATAACTCTTTACTATTATTCCGCTGTGCAGTACAAACTTGCTCTATTTACTTGTTACTTAGAGTTGAAGTTACCAAAGAGTTATTTAATCTGAAAAAGCTTGGAAGTCTATTCACCCCCCCCCTCTAGACTTTCACCACCCTATTGGGACCAACAATTGGTATCAGAGCGGTTGTCTATTTGAGTCAATTTTGACTGCTAGACAGATCTCGAAAAATCAAGATGATGAAAAGAGATTACGCTCTTGCCCAAAATTTATTATTTTCCTTAGAAAAATTTGATGATTGGAAAATTCGCATGCAGGTACATTTATCCGCATTACATGATGAAATGTGGGAAGTGGTTACAAGTGGTCCTATTGAGATTTTGCAAGTCAACACTTCATCCGAACAAACAAGTGAGACTCCGCAATACATTCCAAAACCTAAAGTGGAATGGTCTCGTGAAGATAGAACAAGAAATAACTTGGACAATATTGCCAAGGATATTTTGTTTAAATCTATCGATGACACGATATTTCCAAAAGTTCGAAAGTTTCAATCCGCAAAGGAAGTTTGGGAAACGCTCATTCAAATTGGCGAAGGAGACGAACAAGAAAAGGATAATAAGCTTACCATAGCATTAAAGAAATTTGAGGATTTCAAAATGCTAAGTGGCGAGAATATTACTGATATGGAAACGAGATTTGCCAAAATCTTAGGAGAGATTAATGATCTTGGAAAAGATATTAATCAAAAAGAAATCTCACTCGAAATTCTACGTGGTCTACCATCTACATGGGACATGAAGGTCACAGCCATGAGAGATCATAGGGATCTAAAAACCCTATCAACCGATAAGCTCTTTAGTGATCTAAAAGCTTATGAATTTGAGATGAAATCAAGATTAGAGGAAGATCATGAAGAAAAGAACAACGCGCTTATAGCCGAGCAACCATCAACCTCAAGGTCAGTACAAAATGTTGAATTATTGCCTAATGATCAATTTGCTCTCTTTGTCAAGAAATTCAGGAAATTCATGAAGAGAAGCAACTAAAAGAAAAATCCACAAGGGAAATCATGGAATACAACGAAGAATTCGAAGAAAGAAATTATTGAGGAAGATTCAAATTTGTGTTACAACTGTAGAAAACCGGGACACTTTGCAGCAAGTTGTCCATATCCCAAGGTAAGTAAAAGTCAGTATACAAATGTTACTAACCCTCAACAGGAAGAATTCAAGCCCAAAGATAAAAGATTAAAAGAAAGAAGAAAAACACTCATCAGTGATCCACTTGAAATAAGTGAGTCAGAAGAATCTTCAAGTGATGAAAGTGACACCTCAAAGGATGACAATGCAATGTTTTGCATGAGCATCTCCAACAATACACCACACGAGGACATGTGTCTTATGGCTAATGGGCATGAAGAAAATGAGGTAACATCTAAATCTTATGACTCTGTTAATTCTTCATTTTCTAGAGAGTCCCTCTTTCACTTAATGGAAGAATGTCAAACCGTAATGGACACTCACTCTCAACTCAAAGAGCGCAATAATCATCTGATTCTTGAAAAAGATCAATTAAATGAAAAATTGCAAAATGCTCTACTTGAAATGAAAGACTTGAAAGATAAAATTATTTGTCTTCAAGAAGAGTGTAAATCAAGGGAAGTGAGAGAACACAACCTCAGAGAGGTTATAGCAACATTTACGCATTCGTCCAAAATAATGGACAAAATGGTAAATATGCAAAAACCCTCAAGTGATAAAACCGGACTTGGTTATGATCTATCGTGTTCTCAAGCCTCCGAGAAATTGACCAATTCTACTACTACTTTAAGTAATAAAGTTCAAGTAGTAAAATTTGTAAAAGGTCAAGAAAGCACAGTGAGACAAGGAACTGGTTACCAAACTGATGTCAAAATTAACACTGTTGGACCAAAGCCTCAAAGAAACAATATTTCGTCCAAACAGTACACTAAAAGACAAAAGTTTGTTCCTAAATGGAAATACACCAATGAGTCTAGTGCACAAAGTCCTCATAGGAAAATGGGAAGAAATCCGAAGATTGGGGCAGGGAGATTCTATCCCTCTAAACAAGATTGGTTTGGAAATATTAAACCATGGACTAAGTCCAGATTTAATGCTTATCACAGGCCCAAACAATCTATATCCCACGTGCCAAGAAATCGAGTCAATTTTCAAAAACCGGCACAAAAAATGTTTTCAAAAATTAAATATGATTATAATGTGTTTAATGGTTACCAATCACCTAAACTTAGATCAGTGAGTACAAGGTGGATTTGGGTACCAAAAATGACTAACACTCAAGGACCCAAGTCAAGTTGGGTACCTAAAAATGTTTAATTCATTTGCAGGAAGTTTGGTACTTCGATAGTGGATGTTCTAGACACATGACTGGAAATAAATCAAGTCTTGTGAATCTTAAAAATATCGAAGGACCAAAAGTTGTATTCGGTGGAAATGAACGATACGGCATAACAAAAGGAATCGGTACAATATTTCGAAATGGTTTGAAAATCGAAGATGTATCCTTTGTTGAAGGTCTAAAATTCAACTTGTTAAGTACAAGTCAATTTTGTGACAAAGGATATCTAGTAGAATTCTTCAAAGAGAAGTGCCAAGTGAAAAATAATTCCACAGGAGAAGTTGTTCTCGAAGGAATAAGAAAGAAAAATATGTACGTTGTGGATTGGAACACAACAAAAGAATCAGTGTGTCTACTAGCAAACAACTCACACGCAACAAGTTGGGAATGGCACAAGAAGTTGAATCATCTAAACTTCAAAACTATCAACAAGCTAGCAAGAAACAAATTAGTTGAAGGTCTGCCCGACATTGTCTACAAGAAAGATCAAATATGTGATGCTTGCCAAAGAGGAAAGCAAGTCAAGACATCTTTCAAATCCAAAGCTCAAGAATCTACAACAAGACCGCTAAGTCTACTACACATGGATCTATTTGGTCCAGTAGACCCAGCAAGTC